TATTATTATTATTATTATTATGTTGTAATGATGTTGTTTGTACTGTTCTTTAATTTTATTAAAGAGGGCCCCTGAATATCAGTTAACCTACTGGGCTAAACTGGAAGGGTTACCCTCTTTAAAGATGGTTGAAATTAAAAAAAAATAGTAAAACTGGCTCGTATATCTCAATATAATATACAACAATGAAGTTGATCAAAATAAAGATGATCACGTTATAAATACAACGGTAACTCATTCTTAGATCAATACTTATAGATAATCTATATTAAATGTTACAAAGAAATGCCAAAAACCCTATTAAAGGGGACAATTGCACGTAATTAGTTAGTGTCCCCTGAATAAGGACCCCTATTAAGGGGACACTTTTTCTTAATAGGAGTTCTACAGCATGCACACCTAAATGTATCTCCCTAAGTTCTCTTTCCCGAGCAAGAACTTCCAACAAACGCTACAAATCAATAGTGTCTCGGTCCATCTTAGACAGTAGCAATGATCATAAAAAACAAAATGTTGACCCCTCCCCCGTGACGCCCACCTCCGTGACCCCTCTCCCCACCCCTCCCCAACCCCTCTCCGCCACCGAAATGCTATCCGATTGCGAAGAACAATTGCCCAACATAAGTGGCGCTTTTAAGAAAAGTAAATTAGAAAAATGTGCAAATGTTGACTCGATAGGTAGTTATGTGTAAACTCGACGCAGGGTTCCCGGCACGCCGCCCTCAGCGGCGAGTGCAAAGCACAAATCAGGGTGGAACGTGAAATTTGGATATAGTTTCGTAGTCAGATTTGCGAGAAAAACTTCAGCTACCCGTATTTCTTGACTGAGACGTCAGTGGGAGCATTAATTTGTATGGCCAGGAGATTGTGCAACCCTTAATTCGTATTAAGGGAATTTACGCCTAGAAACCTTGTAGTTAATAATATTTTGGTTATAATAGAAAATATTCATTTTTTGGTGACGTCACACTCACAATATAGTTAGCATGCATACGTCATAAGCTATATTACGTCACATTTTCCTGGTAAGGCAAACTATCCCGGCGTGATTTTTTCATGGGATAAACAAACACCACTGCTTTGCACACCTGGATGCCTTGTCCTAGCTAGGGATACAAAAGCCGCATTGTTAGCATTGTATAATACGTACAAGGTACCTCTGCAACTGAATTATTCTTGATTATTTGTTTCTTTAAATTTTATTTAAATTTATTTCTTTCGAAAGTGTACTGTACTTTCTATCACATTTATTATTGCACTGTCTAGTTAGGCCTGGGCCTAGCCCTAGCCTACTAGCCTAGTATTGTATGCCTCATCGTCATCGGCCGCTACACAGTACATCCGTAGCGCA